ATCGTATTTTTGACAAGTCACATGGACCGTTGTGGTACATCAAACAGCAGTTATAAGCAGCAATTCAAACTCTCTATCGAACCCCAAAGTTAGTTGATTCTACGATCCCTTGTCGTCCTGTTTGGGGGAATAAATGGGAAAATGAACAAAAAGATGATTTCCATGTAAGAGCAAATGGAACTGCGAAATGAGCACCAGTAAAAGTTTAGCTGCTTTGGTTTGGAGGTGAATCCGTCGTCACCTGCGTATTGCCCCCATTGTACATGTCTTTGATTTGCTTCACCTCTCCTTTCACTCCATCCCGGGGGAAAATTGTTTTCCTCCTTGTCACGTCCTCCCACAGTCCAGTCTGATTGCTCGTGCTACCGTCAGTTCTTCGACAGTGTTGATGAACTTCGAAATCTTCGATGTTTTAGGTGTTTCATGTCGATATATGTTTTTGTAGCCTCATTCATGGCTTTCCCAACCACCGGACGGTGGAGGTCTGGTGGTAACGTCATCAAATTATCACCCCGAGCGAATGTGTGTGTCCGATTCCCACCACCACCGTCATCTGACTTCGTTCATTTGATTTGCCCTTTCCCTCCCTCCTGAAAATTGTATCATTGTGTACTGAAATGAAAATAAAAGGGATACTCATGAAACCAAAATTATAATAAGTAATTATCTAAGTGGTGATTTATCAGCATTTGTATTTTGTTTCCCGCGGACTTCTCTGTGTCCTCGTGATGCTTAGTTGTCCGAAGACCTGTTCCAAGTACATCGCCAATTCACTCCAAATTCCGTGATTTTGCCACTCAACACGGATCAGGCCACCGGTTCCAGTCTGGTTGACGTTGTGGCCAACGGAATACGAGCCGTTTTGCGTCATTCTCTAGTTGCACCGATTCCTCCCAATATGGAAAAGTTGACTCCGGAAAGCGCCGCGACCCGCGTGTCCGTCCGGTTCGGTCATTTGGGCAGTGATGCTTATTTGGTTCCAGCACTCCGTCTGGACTCAAAAATCTCGTGAGTTTCCGTGCTCATTCCACTCTTTGATCATGATAATTGTTTGAAATTCATGAATCCTACCTTAACTGGAAAATCTACCAAGATTATACTCATTCCTACGATGAAATCCATCAAACAGCACCCGATCGCTTGCACTTTCGCACTTCTTTTAAAAACGCTTTATCAGATAGCCCGATGGTAGTTGTCAATCGATAGAACCGGTTAATAACTCAATCATAAAGACTACTGTGTTTGAGAATATCTCCGGGGCGAATTTGTAGGACAAAACCGGCGGGGTTAACTTCACACGCATCTGAGTCCAGACCGTGTGTGCCAAACAAACCACAGTACAATAATCTTCATAACAAATAAAAATATCATGACTTGTTGGTAGGTGGAATACCACCAGGTGAATTTTCTCAGGGAATTTGCAACGTGGCCCCTCGGCTGCCCATAACCTGACGCGCAAGGCAACGATGTGGTGCATGAAAAACGCAATTCATTCGAGTTCGGTGTCTGGTTCTTCGGATCATACGCCCTTTGGACGAGATGAAATGCCCAGGGTGCCCAATGGAGCCGGTGGGCACTATCATAACCAGAAAGGTGTGTGTGTGTACTTTGTACTTCCGCTCTTGTTTGCTTTGGGATCCGGGTTCTTAGCCAACTTCCCTAGATGAACTGCCATTGGTCCACCAACTCGGTTATAGCCCCCGATGTTGGGTTTTCGTCCTCTTAGTTTGGTGGGAAAGCACTTTCACCAAAGGAAGATAGTGAGTGAACATGGATGGCTTCTTCAGCATGGGATATTTGAAACGCTCAGTCATATCGAAGCATTTCACTAGTTGCAAGGAAAGGGTAATCGTTTACAAGCCGAGACCAATAACCCCATCCATATTGCGGCTTTTATGAACAATGATATTCAGTTGAACGAGCCTCACCAAGCACACGGTTTTCCAGTCTAAGTAAAATCTAGAACAAAGTGTGATTTACGTATGCGTTTCTTCANTGTGTTTCGTTTGACATTTGAATTGTGCAATCGTATTCCTCTAGTTGACTGCTGATTTGATATTAGATCCACAATTATCATTTTCACTAGCCCGTACCAAGACGGTCTTCTGAGCTGCGATACTTCTGCCAATTACCATTTAGTCCCAGTTCGGAATTCGAGTTGTGTTGTTTCATCATTTCGAATAAAGAAAATCTTTCCAGAGAAAAAATGTATTCACTTAAAATTCACATGCAACTTATCATATCGGTCAAACTCATCCGCCACAATCACACGTATATCAATCGTTCAGGTGCATGATAGAATAAATAGACATTCGTGAAGTTTATGTAATGATTTCCTTTGGCTTCGGGTGTTTGTTATTTTCTCATTTATGCGCAAAGCAGTTTTCGTCTGTTGCCATGTTTGTGACCATGTCCGTTGTAGAGTCCACTCTTCTTCCTGAGCACGTATTAGGCCGGGTTTAGTATAAAGTAGTTCAAACTATTGCCCACCTGTCCCTAATATCCACTCTTCGGTCACGTGCTCATCCCCGTGCG